TTTTTTCTTAATAACATTGGTGACCAATTATAAGAAATTTAATTCCTATTAAGTAAAACATCAAAAAAAGACAAGTGTAACATAAAGAGAGACAAGTGGCAACATGCATGATAAATCCATGACATGTGTTAAGAGCCATAGCTATAAACTTTACACTTGTCACGCATGCATTTTTGTCTCTATACCATGATAGATGGCTGAGATCAAAATCCTAATGAGAAACTAAGTCCTCTTTCTGTCTAAAAATACTTACCTTTAGACCAACATAAAGGTGTGGAGAATAAGTGAGAGAAGAAAATACACAACACATAATAAGAGGATGAACTTCTGGAACACTCCATCTCATCTGGTAATACTATTGTCTATGATACTCCATTTTGATCCGAAACACTCTTTTGTGGAAAGAAAAAGTGAATTCCGAAATTCTCCTTAATGAATTGATTTTACATTAAAAAAAACAAACAAATCGACCAATTAGGAGGTAGGGGATCGAGGTGGAGGTCGGATATGGTCTTCTCGTTTTGACCCGAAAACGAAAACAAAAATCAAAAACTGCTCGAACTCAAGCATCTGATTCTACCAAATCTTGCTTAGATCCGTTGAACCTCCTTCACAGCGGTTATCTTTGACTATTCCGCCGAACTCAAGCATCTCCTTCTGATCATATTTGAAGTCGTATTTGAAGTCGCCACTTAGCTCGAGAAAGAAGGTTGAAGCTCTGTGAAGAGGTGAAACTCGGTGAAAAGGTGAGTTTTATGTATATTATGTTGCAAATTTATGGTTATATGTATATTATGTTGCAAATTTGTGGATTTGTAGATAATTTGATTTGTAGACAATTTGATGTTGGTTGAATTAGATTATGCATATATCGAGTTCGAGGGTCCTTTGTTGAGGGGCTTGTTGAGGTTAGTGAAGATATCTGCATAATTTGGGATGATTTGTGAATCCGATTTTTTGCAATTGAGCAGTATAACTAGTAATGCTAGTTTAACTAACAGACATGGTATAACGTGTTAATAACAA